GGGAGCTGATTATTGTATGTGTTCTCATTTTGGTAAAGGGAGCCCTGTAAATACAAGCAGTGATTGCTTCATAACTCCTTGAATCACAAAGTAACACCATTAATTAGAATAAAACTGAAGACATTCTAGTATCATTACATTGCTTCTTCTCTGATGTTAACTTAGCCCATCCTGGTTGATTTCCCTCTAGCTTGAAGTAAATTGAATTTACCTCAAGTCTCCTTGACATCAAGGACCACCAGATTTGGGGGACACCTAGGGCTCAAACACCTTCCTGAGCCTGGGGCTCGTGCTAAAGAATGTAAGCCAGAAATGCCAGGGAGCCCTGGGTTGAACTACACTGAGAACCTTTTGCCTCCTCCAGAAACAGTTCCATATCTTGCTGGTGGGGTCAGCAACGTCTACCTCACAATTCATTTCCCTCTACCTATCTTGGCATGGCTGTCCTGCTTTCTCCCCTCAAGGCCCCACAGAATTGCAATAAAAACAGGGTTGCCCTTACAGTAGGATTCTGCCAGTGTTCCAGCACCTGCTCTGCCTTCTTCCTGTGGACGCCATTGCTGGTCCTCTGATTACAACCTGGCTTCTTCAGAAGTGCTTTTACTCACCCTCCCCCCCACCTCCAGTATTTACAAGCGACTTCTGGGGTTACAAGAACCAGCCCACTTCCTCGGAGTGCTTTGGCTCTAAAAAGTACGTTGGACAAAGAAGAATGAAGACAGAACTGGGTTGACACCCACAGGCACCTTAGAGAACACAGTTATTGTGGGTGTCTGGGAGGGGTGGACCTCAGCGACTCTAGGTCAGGCTGTGCACCCTAGGGACCAGGCTGTCCTTCCAGGGACATTTTGCCCTACAGACAGTTGGGGGGAGGGTGCATAGACTTGAGAGTGGCCCATTTTCTATTTTTACAAGGTGATTATCACTGGGCCTTTGACAGAGGCTCACCGCCAAAGTCAGAAGGCCTTTTGAATGCTGTATGGAGATGCCTGAGCTTATACGTGAACCAGGAAGGTCTATCTGTGGCAGGAAGCTGCAGTGAGGGTCTGTGCCTGCTGGGAACCATAGAGACAAAAGGCCAGGGATCCCTGAGTGGAGTTTAGGGCCATGAAGCTGATATACCTTCGTCTCAAATTTAGCTCCTTTCTCTGCAAAGCAATGAAGCTTTCGTTGTTCCTGTATGTGATGAATGTATAGGAAATAGCAACAGGAAGTCTGGGAGCATTGGAACATTCTGGTACCACCCCAGGACTTTTATAACAGGATGTAGTACCCTGCCAGCCCAAGGGCCAGCCTGGCAAAGCATTTCCCTCCCTCCACCGTGCCCCCCCTTAACTCTGAAAGGGATTACATGCTATTGACATAATTATGCCTTCTTTCATAATACTGTTTTATTTTTAAAAGCAATTTGCTATTTGGGTTTTTGTTGTTGTTGTTTTTTGCATGGAGAAAAGGAAATTGAGGATTTAGGAGTTGGCTTTTGCAGCTGAATTATTCTTACCATAGGTTGTAGCATCTGCTTTCTCAGAATTGGAATCCTGAATGGGAAGCAGCCTTTTGGGGTCCTGCTCCCACCCCCTTCTTGATTGCCTGCAGGTCTTCATCCAGAGCCTTTCCTGTTGCATATCCATGGGAGATCCACACACATCCTAGGGGAGGGCAGGGGTGGCTGGGAGCTTTCAAGAGAGCATCTTATGAGCAGCCCATACCGTGCTGTCACTGTGAGGCCAGCGCTGCTTACGGATTCTCACTTTATAGATGGGGAGAGGGAGGCCCAGATAGGCTGGGGTAATTCAGCCAAAATCCTACAGCTAGTTCCTCAGCAGCAAGATTGTCATCCTGTGACTCTAGAGAGCTGCTCCTCACAACCACTCTGCATTTAGAAGTCTGTGCTTTACGAATCATGCTGATTCTCAGAGCTGTGCCCCATGGTACACAGGCGGAAAGTAGGTCTTAGAAAGTAAGTCTTGGACTGCAGACTTGGAGCCAACTGAGCCAGGATGGAACTCTGGATCTCCAATTTCTCTGTTTCCTCTGGTTTTATCCAGATTCACATATTCCCTGGACAGTTTTCCCCTGGAACATAATTGCTTGTAATGTCAGTCTTTCCATGCTGACCCAGGAGTTGTTGTGGGACGAGGGCCTTGGCCTGCTTGAGAGAACCTTCTGTGCCTCACCCTGTGCAAGAATCAGGAGCCCCTTCATGAACCAGGGGAAATGCGGGCTACTCCCCAGAGTCCCCTGACCTGGGGCTGTTGCACTGACCCTGGAGAGACACAAGCCTGAATGGCTTTCTAAAGGAGCCCTCAGCACTGCCCGAGGGCTATTAAAGGGACTATTGGTACAGTACAGAGTGCTTTTTGTGGAAAGGGGCTTGGCTCTTCCCTTTGACCTTAGCCTTGTGCCTCATGTATTTACTACAAACATTCCAACTGGTAGTTCCAAGCATTTGCCCAGCTCCAGACTATTGGTGTTTGTAATGGCTTTCCTCAAGTTCTGTCTTGAAGACTTGTTTTGTTGCAGTCAGTGGGCCCTGCTATGTTTGGGGAAGAGCATGATTTGTCGGGAACAGAGGCATGATGCCTTTGGGCACAGATTACAGAGCGGCCTGCCTGCCCATTGGTGCTCTGATCTGCCCTGCTAACCTGGCCTTTCCTGGTAGCTTTAATACTCAGATTATTTATAGCTCTTTGGGGGTGGGGGGATGGTTGTGGTGCAGCCAGAGGGCTGAGGCACAAGTTTGAAGAAAAGTGCATTGGGACTGAAAAGACAAATAGAGAAGCAGAAGCTAAGCCCTTGGCAGGAAAAGTCACACCTTAATGTAACAGAACTTCATTCAGGAGACAATGGACACTGTAATCACAGGTCAACATTGAGAAGCTTAGGTAGACTGAAAGTTCGTTTGAGGCTTAGGAAAAAAAGGAAAATATTGTTTTGCTTGTTCTCACAGTTGGTTCAAATATAACATGTCTGAACCAGGACCCCTGAACCATTTTCAGCGAGTTCTGGGTGTGGACGGCATGCACTGGTAAAGGGGGCATGCTGGGTCTTACAGTGACCACATATATAAGGCATCCTTTGAAGGCAGTTGTAGTTTCTAAGCGACTCTTGTTCTTTCAAGTTAAAAAAAAAAGTCTTACCTAGAGACCAGAGACATATTTTCTTGGTTCAAATTAAATGTTATTTTCACAGACTGAGTCAGCCATTTCAGCTGTATGTGAATATCTCACTTGTTAGGTGGAAATGTACTTTCACTGAGTGAAACATAAATTCCAGAAAAGGGATGGGTGGATTTCTCTTAAAGTGAAAGTGGTTAGAAAGCAAGTCCTGGGATTTCTCTGTGTCAGGAAATGGCAGATCGTAGAAGTGGGGGGATGGTGGTAACTCCACCACCACACCAGGGAGGGAGAGCCCCTCCTAATCCCCCAGCTGGCCCTGCCGCTCAGAGAGAATTAACCCTTTCCCAGCCTTGCCTCAGAGGGAGGTTTGATCCAGCTCTGGGCAGCTCAACCCATGTAAGCTTACTGTGGTTAGAGTCCCCCTCTCCTTGGGGGGACCACAGTTCAAAACACATAAATAGGGTGGGGGAAGGGAAGGAGCCTGTCTTGGCGATGATAAGCTGACATTCACAGCCTGGCCTGGCCTGGCTTGTCTGCAGAATCAGCTCTAAGGATGCAGTTAGTCAGAGGTCTGGTCTGGACCCAGAGAGCGCACGTGCTTTAGCCTTTGAGTTGTCTGCTGTGGCTGCTTTCTTTGCCCAGGGATTTTCCTGGCTGATCAGCCTGAGCTGGTGGTGTTGTTGTTATTGCTGCTGTTGCCTTCCCCATCCTCATCCTCAGTCTCACCCCAGGTCTCCCTGCAGAGAAATGGGAGAAAAGCCTGTAGGTGATTACATCAGCCCTGGGAAGGACGAGGTTGGGCTGTTGGCCTGATTTGGTTCACTACCTAGGGGACTTGTGTGAGAAAGTGAGCAGGCAGAGGTAGCCTCTGGTCACTGCCCAACTTGCCGGGGACAGTGAGAAGAAACCAAGAACAAATTCCCAGGCCAGAGGCAATTACAATCTAAAATGCCTTCTTGTCCCTTCAACTGCTTTTTCCATGCCATCGAGGTAAGATTGGTGTGGATTTTTTTTTTTAATGCATCTCACCATCCCCTGTACCTCACATTCCCCAGCCAGTGTCACAGCTGCAACCGACTGCATTTATAATCCTCTGGATTTCTACTTGCCTGCTTTTGCCTGGGTGCTTTTTTCCATTTTCACGGTTTTTCACAGGACTGGGAAAATGAAGCTTGCTTGGGATCTTGTGGGAAGAAGGTGCCAAAAAAATTTCATGACTGTTCTTACTGTGTCCTTTTTATTAGTTTACATTTAGCATATCCGTGTTCGTTTATCTCATCTTCCTGCTAAGCCTTGAGAAATGTGCGGGGTGAGGGCAGCAGAAACAGGAAGCTTGGGCCCTGGAATGAAGAAGTAGAGGCCCTTCAAGAGATGCAGGACAAAGATGGCAGGGGTGACATTAATCAAGATGCATTGTACTCATAAATTGTTATGGTGAATGAACCAAAACCCTTTTGTACAACTACTTAAACATAATGTTATGAGAAAAAAAATCAGACAGGGGAAAAAAAAAAACCTATTAAGATGAAAACAAGAAGAACTGGAGTGTTTTGTTGCTTGGCCTGTTCTTACAATTGCTTCAAGTGTAAAATGTCCAGTCAGGGACTGCCTGCAGCATTTTAAGTGAACATTATCATTTCCCAAGCTAGGTTGATAATTTGCTTGTATGCTCTGTATTCCTGTCTGGAGTCTGGGGCACCTTAAGAATGCTGTGCCCCTCAGAGGGACAGGAGAACCCTGAAACTATTGTCCTGTCCTATGACCAAGAAAAAAAGAAAAATATTTGCTAGTATGTTGAAGCACTCTGGTCTTTACTTTACTCTTGGTTTTTATTCTTTAAATGTAAAATGTATCTGTGCTTGTCTCCTTTGTGTACTGCAGGATGTTAAAGTCTTTAGTGAAGATGGAACAAGCAAAGTCGTGGAGATTCTAGCAGACATGACGGCCAGGGACCTGTGCCAGTTGCTGGTTTACAAAAGCCATTGTGTGGATGACAACAGCTGGACACTTGTGGAGCACCACCCACATCTTGGATTAGGTAGGAGACAGCTCAGGGCAGAAACAGTCCCTAGGTACCTTAGTGTGAAATCAAATGGAGAACCGGTGCCAACTGTGTTGTCTGTCCCCTGCCAGACTGGCCAGGAGTTCATGTGTGACTCTTGACTCATCTTGCTCCCCCCTTTTTTTTTTTTTGCCCCTTCACTCTGCTTCTTTGAGAATCTTTCTTGGGGTGGTTGAAGCAGTAACTTCCCACCAGTTCAAACATATCCCCTGTGATCCAGCTGCCTTCCTGACTATCAGGATCATGCTGCACATCTGTTAGTTGGAGAGGGAGGGGCCCCGGGAAGAGACAGATACTGGCACTGCTAGATTGCAGCTGCCACTATTCACCAAGCTACTGATAAGAAGGGAGCCTGGCTCTAGGCTCTAGCCTAGGGCATAGAGACCTGCTAACAATCAGAGCACATTGTAAAGCAATCACATATGAATTTGGTACTTGTGTGGGATCTCTGTCTGAGCTGGTTAGGGATGATTCGTGGATACTCGTGTGTGTGTGTGTGTGTGTGTGTGTGTGTGTGTGTGTGTGTGTGTGTGTGTGTGTGTGTGTGTGTGTGTGTGTGTCCTAGAGAATAGTTTATGTATCACAGAACACTTCAATGATTCGTGGATACTCTGTGTGTGTGTGTGTGTGTGTGTGTGTGTGTGTCCTAGAGAATAGTTTATGTATCACAGAACACTTGAAACTCTACACACTTACTTCCAGACGTGACTGGTTTGTGGTGAGTTGTTTGGTCAGGTGGTCCCTCCTAGGAAAAGACACATATTCAGACTTTGGTTCTGAGTCTTACAGAATAATGTCTGATGCCTGCAAAAGCATATGCAGGTATTTAAGACTAGCATTTTCTCTAAATCAATAGCTATATTTCTTCTATGTCTCAAAGGAGAAAAAAATACAAATTGCAAACTTCTTGTAGTTTTAGATTCTTCTTATAAACCTTTTTCTTGACAGATTAATAAATTAAATCTCAACCTCTAGATCTTACAATATTCATTTAACTGAAAAGTATTCTTCCAACAGAGAGCATGCTATTTAAGTCTAAATAAGGTAATGTAAATTTGCACTATTACTTTAAGTCGCTATTTTCTGACTCTCCCTGGACTTTTAAATCCCTGACATGGTTTGGAGTAAACAAATAGGACTTGTGCTGGTTTTTCCAATCCGTGTGGATCACTAGACTGTTTATGTGAAAGCAGAGAGTTCCTCCTTGTCACTAACAGCTTTCTGGAAGGCCCATTTGCCTGTTTCATAGTGAGTGGCTGTGCTGTCACTCTTGTTCCCATAGTGACAGGCTGACTGTCACATCAAGCTCCAGTTTGGGACATCCACGACTGAATCCTCCCATGGTCTAATAAGACCATCAAAAGCATCTGTTGACACACAGATAACTTAGACATTAAACAGGAGTGGGAAGCTTTTATAGAGTATGTGTGCAGGACTGCTGTGATTAGGTCACAGCCCTGCTGTGCAAGGCTGCATCGCCTGCTGTCTGTGCTGCACCTGTGTGTAAGCAGAGAAATTGATCAAGAACCAAGAGCCTGTGGCCCTTCCCAGTACTAGTGTTAGCTCCTGAGATCACGCACTACTCCAGGCACCTAAGGTAGTTGGTACAAAGCTGTTCCCTTGGTTTGCAAAGCCCTTGGCACTTGATCTTAAGTGAGCATGTTCTGTGTGTTGTGATGCTTAAGGGCTGGTTCTTTGAGTGTACTCTATCTAATGAGCACTTCCACCAAAGCCCTGTCTGTCAGGAATACTTCAGCCTCAGTGTCTGGGAGTAAAAACATCTCAACCATGTCTCCTTCCAGGCCACTCATCAGCCTGTGGTAAATCCATCTGAGGGTATCAGCATGAACCCTTTGGCAGGTTATCCCAGTACCTTCTGCCCAAACATATGACCTACAGGTTTCTAGAAGCTTCACTGCTGCCAGGAGGCTTCGCATATAAAGGACATAGTGATGTGAAACAGTCTACCAACAGAGCATGTAAACATATTACTTTAAAAATGTATTATTATTATAAAGATGATGTACAGAGGGATTACAGTTACATAAATCAGATGGACAATGTCACCCTTTCCCTTGCTACCAAATTACTTTTTATAGGGATAGAATGCAAGCTTAAATGTGGAGAATGGTATCTTGATGCCACCCTTCCAAACTTGAGCACAGACTTACAGATAAACCCCATTCTTGCCAACTGGCAGTACCCATGCCAGGGCCCTTTCATTCAGGCCCCAAATGACCCTGAATGGCTCTGTGTCATAGGCACAGTACAGGATGTCCAAGACAAATGGGAATGTGGGCATGGGGCACAAGAAAGAGAAGCAAGGTTCCACAGATCCTATGAGTGTTAGAAACTTGAGAAAGTCTGATGTCCTAAGAATTAGGCTGAAGCATCCAAGAAAAGCAATGATTCTTTGTTGATCTGCTTATGGCTTTGTGTTTGATCGTGGTCAGGTAGAAACGCCCTGACAATAACTTTTTGGACTCCCATAGGCACCCACATGTGTCCTTAAGAAAGGTCTTGGGCCAGGTGCCAATGACCCACACCCGTAAATCCTAGCTGCTCAGGAGGCTGAGATAGGAGGATCCTATTTGGAAGACAGCTTATACAGAAAAATCTGTGAGACGCAACTCCAATTAACCAGCAGAAATCCAGAAGATGAATTGTGGCTCACGTGATAAAGAAGACTTTAGCAAGAATGAAGGCCCTGAGTTCAATCCCCAGCACCAACATACACACACACACACACACACACACAAGTTGTTGGACAAAAACAGCCTGTTTTGATGTTCCATGCATGACAGGGCCTTCCCAGATTGCTTTTCTGTCTCTGTCTCTTTGTCCATTACATTTGCAAATGCCAAATGATGTCCTTTCACACAAGCTTTAGAGAGAAAAAGCAGGCAAATGGCAGGGCTTGTGCTGGCATCAAATGGCTTTCTATATGCAATGATCTCTCACTGATGACTTTGTTTCCAGATTTTGTTCTAGAAGGCTTTGAGCTTATCAGCAGCTTTCCCCCTCTGTAGGCAGGCAGTGCTTGGAGGTGAGTGACTGAGTGGGCTAAATGTCAGTCCACAGGCAAGCCAGAGGAAATCCGTGATGTCAGGCGGGGATGCTGGATTCAGCTCTCACCTGTGTCCTGGATCTGCAGATCCTCCACACCAACTAGGCGGCATGGGTTCCAGCCGAGTCACAAGTAGTGGCATTTTGTCTTTGTGGAAACGTCCGACATTTTAGTTGTCTTCTTGTGGAATAGGGCAAGACTTAGACTCAGTCTCAGAAGTTGAAAAAATACAAATATCCTTCAAGGAATTTTCACCTCTTCCATGAATACAGAGTATTTTTGGAATGCCATGATGAAAAGTGGAAGCCCAGTTTAATCAAGGCCACTGGAATAACAGGAAGTTTACGGGCAGCCATGTGATCTAAAACTGGAGGAAAGAGCTTGGCACGGTTGCTGTCCACTCCCTGACTGCAGTGGCCACTTTCCCCGGCGTATCTTATGGCACCCTGCGGCCAGGCAAATCTAGACCCTCAAGGAAAGGACTCGTTGTGTTTCCCATGTCACTGAGAAAGGAAACGGGAATGGGTGCCATGGGTGTGTTTGCCATAAGACCCCTCACAGAGATTCCAGGGGCCGCCTGGTCACCAGAATGACCCAAATGAAAGAAGCGTAGTCCTTTTCGGATGCAGAAGCTGACTTGGCTTCTCTTCCAAATTCTGAGATCACTTAGAAATGCTTTTTCTCAAACTTTGTTCCTCCCTTCCAAGCCGAGAATTTTAAAGACTCACTCTGGCATCACGAAAGAAGCAGGGAACTTCCAAGGTCGGGGCCGCCCAGCCCCTTCTCAGCCCCTCCATCTAGAACAGTGTTGTCCTCATTGCACACCGACCATCTGTACATTTCCCTCTATTGTTTATCCTGTCATTTGATATGGCCACTTCCCCCACAGAAGGAACTGTGACCACCTTCAGACATCCCCTACAGGTAGATTGGTAAGGAGTAAGTAATACTCCATGTGGAAGCAGAGGGCTTAAGCATCAAGGAGAATAACCATCCTTTCTCAAGTGATCATACTGGTTTAATAGGTGGCTCTGGAGAGAGAGAGAGAGAGAGAGTGTACACCATGCACAATGAGGTCAGTCACTGATAATCCAGTTGATGAGAATGTTCCATGATAAGATCAATACTGCCTTTGGTGTGAAAGATGAGTGTGTTGGTTTGTCCTGTCTGCCTGCAGTGTCGTGTTCTTCCTACCGAATTTCATTTCCCCAGGCAGGGTCAGGCAAATGAGTTTCTTAGGATCCAAAGCTGCCATGGCCTTCCTACCTCTGTGCCACATGGCCTTTTAACAAGCCTTCCTTGCTCAGAGGTTTTTGTCTCTGAATGTTTTCCTAAGTATTCCAGCCTATTTTTCATATGCCCAAATGTCTTAATGTGAGGATACAATCATTTGACTCTCCCTCTCCTTAATATTTTGTTGATGTCAGATGTAAAAGAAATATGTAAAAAAAAAAAAACATATTGACCCGAAGCCCACATTCTGTATATTTAAGACCTCTTAGGTATTGGATAGCACATTACAGAGAGGGTTTGAATTCATTTCTCTCCCAGGCCTCATCCTCATTCATGCTGTTTAAAGAACAGGAAATCGGACTGGTTTATTGTTGGTGCACCCATCTGACTAACATGATGCTTTCCCTTACAGAAAGGTGCTTGGAAGACCATGAGCTGGTGGTTCAGGTGGAGGGTACCATGGCAAGTGAGAGCAAGTTTTTGTTCAGGAAGAATTATGCGAAGTATGAGTTCTTCAAGAATCCAATGGTGAGTCTTTTCAGACTCTCAGCATCAAAAAGTCATAGTTGGTTTGAATAGTGTCAGATGAGTCTTACAAGGCAGTGTGTGGATTCAAGAATCTTGAATTTCTATTTAATGAAGCAATCCATGCTTAAAGCCTGGTCTCTGGCACTTAACTAAAACACTGTTGTCACTGACTGAATATGGTGGTAGCCTTCCTCAAACAGTGACTGCAAAAAGGCTGTTTGTCTCTTAAGTCCTAGGATTGTACAGTGAGTTTGAAAAGGTCACAGTCAGTTTTGAACAAATTGATCAAATTCTTACCAAAAGAAATACTCTTCCCTGCATAGAGCAGTGATTATCATGTGATATATATGGAAGATGGAATAAAGAAATCAGTTGGCTTGGTTTATGGTGTCTTCTCCTTCATTGTTCTCACCTTGGCTGTTTTGGGGGAAGCCTTTGCCCTCTGTCCTATCAGTATGAATAGCCTCCTTTGCATTTGCTCTTCACCTGACTCATGGAGCATATAGGTAGCAACTTATGGAGAACACCTAGATCCGCTCTGGCTCCAATAATTTTGCTGTTCTCGTTTTGTTGTTGTTAAAGTTTCTTAGAACAGTTTTTAAGGAACAACACAATCTTGCTCTGACTCAGACACAATCCCGTGATGCTATTGCTTGCCTGGATGGGCACAGTGGGGGGGATGCCATGTTCTCATGCTCAGCATTTGTCCCCAGGAATTTGATAAGGCTTTTCTGGCTAATATTGAAGAAAAGACCTTTTCCACACACTCCTCCTTTGGTAGTTCAGTAATTCTTTAGCTGGTGCTATGCACAGTTATTTAAAATACAGATGTACACAATAATACCTGAAGGAATGTTTTTACTACTGAGAGATCTATAAGTCTGTCTTCCTCCCACTGGAAAACTAACCCTCAATTTATGTGCATTTCCCTGTTTCCTTAGAATTTCTTCCCGGAGCAGATGGTTACTTGGTGCCAGCAGTCCAATGGCAGTCAATCCCAGCTCTTACAGGTACTCATCAAAAATAGTTTGTGTTCAGACTTCTAGAAAAAATGCTCTTGGAATTGTTGCAATAAAAACTTGAAAAGGCTGGGCTCCAGGGAACCATGTCTAGAATCCTAGCTACTCAGAGACTGAGGTCTGAGGATCAGGGTTCAAAGCCAGCCTGGGCAGGAGAGTCTGTGAGATTTTTATCTCCTATTAACGAGCAAAAAGCCAGAAGTGGAGCTGTGGCTCAAGTAGTAGAGCACTAGCCTTGTGCAAAGAAACTAGGGGACAGCACCTAGGCCCTTATTTTAGGCCCTAGGACCAGCACAACATAGAAAAAAGAAAGAGAGAGGGAGGGAAGGAAGGGAGGAAGGATGGAACAAAGGAAGGAAGGAAAGAAATTTGAAGAGGTTACATCTTTACTGGCATATTAACCTTGACTGCTGGTAGAAACAGCACAAATGACCTTGTTCTGACTCAAAACAGTCCCATGATGCTATTGCTTAGTATGGCAAGGTAAGGATGCCATGTGCTCATGTTAAGTGTTTGTCCCCAGGAAATCTCTACAGAAATACTGAGTCTATTTCATAAAGAAAAAAAGGACCAAATTTTCACACGTCCTTTGCAAAGTAACTTAATGTACATGAAAATTAGGGACACTTGTTTTAATTGTCCTTCTGTTTTCTAAATTAGTTCCCAAAAAAACTGGTCCTTCCGTGCCACCCCTCCCTTCCGGGGGTAGGGGCCACCGGAGAGTCTTAGTGATCTCACATTGCTCCTGGGACATGGGCATCAAAGAGGGAATGTCACTGTCTCACCATTTCCCCAAACGTGTCTGTGTAACGTGCCAAATGAGAGAACACACTATTCTCTAAGTTAGCCAGCAAGCTTCAGGTGTAAAATTCAATTCCTAGAGGATCTTGCTTTGTTGATCATCAGATTTCTTTCTGCTGTCAAAAAGGTAAGAATGGGAGAGTAGTGTTCTGGTGATCTCTGCCAAGTCCTCAACCATGGCATTGGTCTGTTCTGCCAAGAGATGTTGACACTGTCATCCTCAATTCACACATGAGGACAGTGAAATGCAAATTGGTTTTTAAGTGCCTTAATTTTGAGAGGATTTGTATGTTGTGTGCAGTCATCTCTTGAGACTCAAGATGGTGCCAGCTACTCCAGAGCTGTCTGATTTGACCATCTTATCCATGTCAAGGAGCTTTGTCTGTTCCCAATCCAGGCCAGAGGACCTGCTCTCTTCAATGTCCCCTCCCAGACTTCCCTTGTAGCCTAGATCTCAGCCTTCATTCCCATAAGTGTTTGTTTGTTTCCTTAAGCCTTTATTCATAACAATGCCTGTAAGAGGGGCTAATTGGTCTCTTACTAAGGTGTCTCATGTACCTTATGCACAGACAAATGCCATTCACACACCTGTGTATTGAAGGACAGGCCAAAATGGTAGGCAAATGCTCATTCCCACAGTACCTCTTCCTCATTGCTCCTAGCACTTGCTCTTGACTCCACTCCAAAGATCAAGTGAGATATATCTTAGAAATCTTAAATAAGGAAGAGAGTCCTTATATGTCTGCCTTACAGAGTAATTTATGGCCTGGTTTTAGCATTGTTAGATCCCTTTGCTTGTCTGTGTTTATCAGTTATATTCTATGTCACCACAATGTGGATGAACTTTTTTTCAAAAGGAGAAGACTCAGTGACCCCAAGAAAGCGTATAGAGTATTTAGTTTAGAAAATGTCAACTGATGAACATTGTCCAATGTTTAAAATTTGTTCTCCCACAGAATTTTCTCAACTCCAGCAGTTGCCCTGAGATTCAAGGATTTTTGCATGTGAAAGAGCTGGGAAGAAAGTCCTGGAAAAAGCTGTATGTGTGCCTGCGTAGATCTGGCCTGTACTGCTCCACGAAGGGAACTTCAAAGGTGAGTTTTAAAACTCACCACCCACAATGGGCTCTGCACAAGCCAGAAGTGCTCAGATGAACTTGGGCTTCATTTTTAGTCTGTTGTTGTTTTTTCTTGTTGTTTTTTCCCTGGTCGGTCATGGGACTTGAACTCAGGGCCTGGGCGCTGTCTCTGAGCTCTTATGCTCAAGGCTAGTACTTTACCACTTTGAACCACATCTCTACTTCCAGTTTGGGGGTGTTGCCTCTACTTGTGGGCTGGGAGCCAACTCACATGGGTAGAGAGCTTCCTGAATCACTACAGATTTCACTGACTTGGGATCCAGGCTGGCCATAGGATGTGTGCTAGATGATGGCCACCCTAATGTCAATCTAGCATGTGTCGGTTGAAGGTATTTTCTTTGGTTAGCTGTGTATATGCCCAATGAGAAGAGGGGTAAAAGGTGAAAATGGATGTAGACCCCTAATTCTCTGTTGCTAGTATTGTGGGCCTGGCCTAGGATCTCCTCTTTTCTTTTTACCTTCCATGTACCCTGGTAATGAGTTGTATCCAGGCAACCTTGGCTGAGTATTGATTGGCCTTTGAGATGCTGCTACCTCTTCTGCTCGCCAAGAGGGAAGGGAAGCTGGTGAGGGTGCCTCTGGCCCACCCAGTGTGGCTCTGAAAGTCAGCAGCTGCTGTGGGTATGAGCTACAGAGAAAGGGTATCATCTCCAGAGAGGGGTCTCTGTCCCACCACAGAGCAGGAAAGGATTGTGTCCATTGACTTACATGAGGAAGCCAGAAGCAGCTTGTGGTCTTGAGCAGGAAACAGAATTTGGCTGGTGGAGAGCTTAGGAGAAGGCCTGGTCCTGCTAGCAATGGGGGAAATGAAGGTAGCATTGGGCACACAGCCTACTGAAGATCAACTGGCCCCTGAGCATTTTAAGGGCTCTTCACGTTGACCTTGGAACTACGTACTTTCTCAAATGTTCCCTGACTATTTGGTCACAGGGCTTTGATTTGGCAGGACAAGTACATTCCAATAGGCTTGTGTCTGAGAATTTGAGAGGTGGGATTTTGGGGTGAGGAATCGGTGGATTTGTGTTTAATTTAGTGTTTATTTCACATGGTGGTCATGGTTTCTAAGATGTCACTGAGGAACTCGGTATGTGCACCTGCACAGACTGCCTTCTGTTTACAAAGATGCGAGAATAATTGCTCTTTTCTGTGCCTGAGACGTGCCCACTGCACATAACCTGGCCACTGTTTTTTGAAGGAGCCTAGACACCTGCAGCTGCTGGCTGACCTGGAGGACAGTAACATCTTCACTCTGATTTCCGGGAAGAAGCAGTACAGTGCCCCTACTGACCACGGGCTCTGCATCAAGGTACTCTGCCACCAGGTTGCTCACCGATCAGAATGAGAATGAAAGGAGTACAGTAGAAACATAGACTGAACAGAAATACAGATTCACGTGTGACTTGCTCATTCCCAGTTAAATGTCAGTGTATGCTGCAGAAAGATCTATGAAAAGCAGGCATATGATGGGAGGTGCCTGTCAGTGGCCTGTGGCTTTGGTACAAGTGTGCAAACATACAGATGGATGTATGTGCAAGTGGTTGATACACAAACGTGTGCAACAAGCACACATAGGCAAGTGGATGTGCACATACATGTTTGTACACACATACGTATGTGCCTCAGGCATGCACACACATGTGCGAGATGCATACACGTCTCCCTGATGAAGGTTTGGCAATTATTGATCATCATAGTGGTAGCTAGTAATTTAGTGAGCATTTACCATGCATGAGATGTTCTAACCACACTAAATCTGTTGTCAGACTTCATCTTGCTTGGATGCTTGTGGGTGAGGAAGTAAATTGGCCTTACTGCATGTATCAGTTTGTCAGTGAGGAGTTGTGCCCATTCCATGGGCTAACCTCCTAGCTAGAGCTCAAACTTATCCTGAGGGGAAGACAAAAATCAAGGAGCTCTCCTCAGACTGCAGGAAAGAGAAAGTCCTTTGCTCACTGAAAGCTCTTTTGGTTGCAAACCCATTTAGTGCCCTTTTCTCATGATTTTCACTGTAATAGTTTCCGTTACTTAAGGTCAACCAGAGTCTGAAAATAGTAGGTGAATAGTATCAGAAATAGTATCAGAATAGTATCAGAAAATAAGCAATTCATTTGTTTTAAATTGCACATCATTCTGAATAGTATAATGAAATCACACTGTCCTAATCCATCCTGCCCAGGTCCTGAGATATCCCTCTGCCCAGTATATCCACTCTGTGTATGTTAGCCACCTGCTGCTCACTCACTAGCCATCTCTGTTATCAGGCTGGTATCACACTGCTTCCCTTAAGTAGGACAATGAAAACTTTAGACTTAATAAGGAAAGGAAAAGGATCCTATGCCAAGGTGGCTGAGAATCTGCTGGAAGAACAAATCTTATATCCATGCAGTTGTAAAAAAATGGAACCAATAGTCCTGCTGTCCCACTATGGAGCCCATAGTGCATGGTAAGCACATCACTGTGGAGCTGCATACCAGCCATGGTTCAGGCAAACAGGACCTTGGGATATGTCCCATGATGTGGAGGGGAGACTACTGAACCTAGAAATCTATTTCAAACCAGCCAGAAACCTAAGGCAGCCTCGGGAGAGACTAGAGATGGAGCCAGGTAGCCAGGTCCTCTCCCTTCTCACCAGCCCTCGCTGGCAGAGCTCTTTTTCTCCTGAAATGCCACCTGAACCCAAGCTGGCCTCTCACCCCTTCAGCTTCCTAAGGTAGAGAGCCAAATCTGTGCTCTCCTCCCTCCCACCCCGGCTGCTCTTTGAGTTGGGACGGGCAGTTCATGTAACAGTCTCCTCTCTCATCACAAGGCACTCTCTCTACTTGATGAATCTGCCCACCTTCTGTAGCTAAAAGAGCTGTGATGAGCCTCCACCTGCCTTGAGCCATCTGCTTCCACATTGGCCCCACTTCCCAGGCATTGGTCTTACTCTCTGGACTCCCACTTATATAATCCTCCTTGAGGCCACTCGTACACCCTTAGCCACTCAGAGGTTACCCCTTGCCAGCAAGCTCCTGCCAGGGCCCTGCACCTAGCCACTACCTTGGATTCCCCAGAAGGTACCTTTGAAGATCATTGCTTCTGTAACTCAGGGGACAGATCATCCCCACAGACTCTAGCATTCCCTCTGAGGCACTGGATTCCTCTTCTTCTCGGCTCCACATACCTGCTTGCCCCACACATGGCCCTGTGGTGATTTGTTTTGCTGTCTGACTCTGAAATTCCACTAGGAGAGTTTATCCACTAGGGTTTATGCTTGAGCTAAGGCATAAGTAATTGCAACAGCTCATGGCTGGCCCATGATCAGTCCTTAACAGAGGCTTATCACACAGGTGGGTGGACAAACTCAACACGACTTGGACCGAAGGTCGGTGGTTCCTACTCATTGTGTTGCACTGATTGATTTTTCTTTCACTCTAGCCAAACAAAGTGAGAAATGAAGCTAAAGAGCTGAGACTGCTCTGCGCCGAAGATGAGCAAGGCCGGATGTGCTGGATGACAGCATTCAGACTCCTGAAGGTATGTGGATGTGGAGAACTGGAACTAGACTTAGGTATATTCCAGACAGAAATGCTCGTGGCATTTCCACTGTTCTTTTCAGTACCTTATCAAGCATAGTTACCAGTCCTTCTAAATAAGATTTCATGAGCTTCCAACAGAGAGCTAAATATTAAGGTGATAGCCAGGTTTTCTAACCTATGCACTATTGTAGGATGGAGATCCAGAAAAAGGGGAACCCTGAAGACACTAAGCAATATCCTTGGTGCTTCTGAGCACACCTCTCCTCCCTTCCTGTCCCCCCTCCCCCAATCATGAAACAGAATGCTTTTAAACACTGCCACATTTCTCCTAGACACCAAGGAGTGAGGAATTGCCTCTGGTGTAAACCACTACCTTATAGAAGATAGTAGAATTGTATTACTCTTTTTTTATTACTACAATAAAATACCTGGGGCAAGCCAACTTTATCAGGAAGAGATGTTTATTTAGCTCACTGTTTTGGAGGTATGTAGGCATGGTGCTGGCATCAACTAAACCCCAGTCTGGCTGTGTCATATCTTTGCAAATGGCAATGGCAGGAGCCTATGCAATCAGGAAGAAATCACACCCCACTGGAAGCCAGAGAGCCAGGTGTCCCATAGTCCCCTTCGAGGGCACACACTCAATGACCTAGCTTCCAAAAAGCCAAGGCCATGAGAACTGTAGCTAACACTGTCCATAGGGTTTCCTGTCCATACATTCTAAAAGAATCTATTGCATAGAACCTGATGCTGACAGCTACCGTAATTGCCATAATGATGTCTTCCTATTCTTTACTATAATCATACTGTGTTCCTTTGCATATATGCAATATGTCCCACACACCAAGATGACTTATGTCTATAAAATCCTCTCCTAATGCAAGTTAGTTGACCAGGGTGAGCTTACTGAAATTCAGGCATCTCTGGAAGAGATACCTGCTAGGCTAAGTGTGGATTCAGAGGCCCAAGGATGACTTTTACAAACCCTCCCAGGCTTTAGTGAACCGCAGAGGACTTTCTCTTGGGGGAAGTCAGCTGAGGAGATGATGTGCAAAAGACTTAGCTCCAAACATTTGAGGAGCCACAGGTCATCTGCTCCATGGAGAAGCGTCCTACAGTGATCTTCCAAAAAAAAAAAAAAAAAGAACCTGGTTGCATTGTGTTTTTCCACTGATAACATATACAAAACAATGTAACCACATGTTCCTAATTCATCATAGAAATGCAAATGTTGGTGGTAGTACAAGATGTTAGAGATGGTAGACTGCTCCTAGTTCAGTCTGTGATCCATGGGGAACTGATTCGTGAGAGCAGTCTGCAGCTGTCGTGTAAGTCCAGTCTGTGTTCTGTTGTGCAGAACATTTTTGTCAGGCAATGGAAAGGGGATAAATCCCTGAAGGATATATTCATCTTTGCTGTGATGCACACACCCATGTATGTAAGTACAGGGAAAAGGAAACTTACAAGGGTAGACTAGGTCTGCTGAGCAGATAGGGACAGAGGCCAGAGAGAAATCATTCAATTTATACATATGTTTTATTTTTTTTATCTGCAAAGAATTTTTGGGTTTTTTTTTCAGTTCTGGGAATTGAACCTAGTCTGGTACATGCTAGGCAAGCTCTTTGCCACTCCTCAGCTGACTTTGTTGTTTGTATTTTTGTTTTGTTTTCAGCAATACTGGGGTTGGAACCCAGGGCCTCATGCTTACTAGACAGGAACTCTTCCTGCTGAGCCACACCTCCAGTGCTTTTTTGTCAGTGAAAATATGTGCCAATACTTGGTCTTGAGCTCAGGGCATTGCACTCTCATTAGGCTTTTTCACTCATGGCTGGTGCTTTGCCACTTGCACCATCCCTCTACTTTCAGCTTTTGCTGGTTAACCAAAAATAAGAGTCTTGAGTATCTGCACAGGTTGGCTTTAAATCATGATCCTCATATCATAGCTTCCTGAGTAGCTAGAATTACAAGCATGAGCCACCAGTGCCTGGCTTACAGTGATTATTTTTGAGAATAAGGTCTCACTGCATACCTGCGTACACACCTGGACCACAATCTTGTTTGTCGTTTCTCATCATAGGTGAGATAACAAGTATATACCACCACGTCTAGCTTCTTCTGTTCAAGGACTTTACTACCTAGGCTGTCCCTGAACTGTAATCTTCCCATCCTCAGCCTCCTATCCTTAGCTTACCATCATAGCTTGGGATAACAGAAAGATGGGTAAGCAGAAAGCATCTTAACTCCACCACACTCACCTATCAGTTGAGAAGGAGGGTCTCATGAACTTTTCTGCCAGGCCAGCGTCAAACCACAGTCCTCCTGATCTCAGTCTTCCAAGCAGCTCAGGTTACAGAGGTGAGGTACTGGTGCTGGCTAGTATCTGTTTCTGAGATAAGATCTCACTAACTTCACTAACTTTGCCCTAGCTGACCTCAAACTGCCTCCTAAGTAAGTAGGATTACAAGCATGTGTCACTGTATAACTTTTTTAAGGCAAAAAGAAGTAGGAAAGAAAAGTGAGAGTACACTCTATGAAACTTATACACAGTAAATCCAGAGAGCAGGTTCTTAACCTGGTGACCAGATTCCCCACCCACCCCCACCCCCCTCTCTCTTTGTTAGTCGTGGGGCTTGAACTCTGGGCCTGGGTGCTGTCCCTCAGCTCATCAGCTCAAGCCTAGCACTCTACTATTTGAGCCACAGCACCACTTCTGGTTTTCTGGTAGTCTCGGACTTTCTTCCCCAGGCTGGCTTTGAACCATGATCTTCAGACCTCAGCTTCCTGAGTAGCTAGTATTACAGGCCTGAGCCACCGGCACTCAGCATGTGGTTACCAGATAAGAATCTGGTAAAAAGAGCAGGTTTCTCTCCTTGGTACCATAATTGTTGGCAGGAAAGGAATGAGCTCACCCTGATGGTACTCACTGTCACTGACTTTGTTATTAATACTAGCAAATGAGGTTCCCTAGTATGTTAATGTTAACATCATTATCATTTTTGAGCATTTGCTGTGGGCCAGATCATTTCTATTTACACAGCCTTATTTCCTCTTCCAGTAGCTTTGTAATATAGACGTCCTCCATATCCCATTGCACCCCTGACCACACTGAGGCCCAAGGTGTGCCCACTGGGGTGAGGCAAAGTAGGATGGGAGCCCAGAACCTTTATCCTTAAGTGCTTTCCCCTTCCCTGACAGCCCAGGGAAGTCACAGGTCCACTTTTAAATATAGTGCCAGTGTCCCAGCTGCTTTGCAGGTCATACTTTGGTCTTGCGATTACTAGATTTTCAGGGGAATCTTGAAATGCCTTTGGGATAGGTGCTTCATATTCTCCAATAGTTTCTGGTTGGTTTGGTTTTATCTTCTTTGTTGCCAGTACAGGGATTTGAACCCAGGCCCTCACAGTCTCTCTCTGGGCTCACTTGCTCACCTCTGGTGCTCTACCACTTGGAGCAATACCTCCATTCTGTTGTTTTTCTGATTCATTGGAGGTGGAGTTTCTCAGCTTCACTGCTCTGTCTTCAAAGCCCCTCCGATCTCAGCTTCCTGAGTAGTTCGGATCAGGCGTGAGAGCCATCGTCACCCAGCATTCAGTTGCATTTTGATTAGTGTTTCACTAGTTTTTCCTTACCAGCTTTTCCTGTTGGTCCAAGTTCTTGTTTTTAAGGTGCATCACTTACAAGTACCACAAATTTTTAGCTATAATTACCTTTATCTTATTTAGTAGTACATTTAGTATCATTTCATTGTATCACTTTAGTGTGATTGTTAGTATTTGAGCTTTGTGTTTGAATATTTTTTCCTTTTCTTCTTTTTTTTTAACAGCAGTAAGGATTGAACTCCAGGCTTCATGCTTGCCTAGCAAGCATTAGGACCATACCCCTAGTCCTGTCTTGGAATCTGTATTTGCTGTTTTTTCCTATGTTTCCCATATTCCCCTTATATTCCATTTCATCTTGTTTGAATTCATCAGGTATTTTTATTTCTATTTGTCCTCTCAACTCACTCCTTATATATGTCCATTTATTGTTTTATAATAGTTAACCTAGGCATCACAACTTGCATCTTTCACTCATTAAATTCTCATGTAGTTTAATTCTTTTTTTATATTCAGTCTGCTATGTAGGCTCCATTTCCCCATTCCTATTTTCAGCTGTTCTTGTTATAAGCATTAATTATATATGTAAACTCCTAAAGATATATTGTTTTATATGCTCAATTTTTATTTTTAATCCTCCATATGTTTACAGTTAAATTTTCCTGAATTTGACATTTTTGGGGGAGGCATGCTGGTCCTGTGTCTTGAACTCAGAGCCTAGGACTATCCCTGAGCTTTTGTGCTCAAGGCTACTGCTCTAACACTTAAACCACAGCTCTTTTTTTTTTTGGTGGTTAATTGCTGATAAGAAAGAGTCTCACAAACTCTCCTGTTTGGGCTGGATTCTCAGATATCAGCCTCTTGAGTAGTTAGGATTACAGGCAGGAGCCACTAGTGCTGATCTTGCATTCTTCTTTTTGGAATTTAGTACTCAGCCTAGCAGCGCTTTTAGTCTAGGCCTAAGCAAATTTCCCCAACTTCGGTTTTATGTCATTATTAAACCTTACATCAGTCACTCTCTTCTGTAATGTTACCATTCTCTTGCCTTCTGGGTTGGTCATATCATTTATAAAAATGTCACCAGTCTGTCCTAGTGCTTCTGAGAAAAATGTCATGTTCTCTTTATCTCTGTTTTTAGCAATGTTTCCATGGTGTGTCTAGGATCAGATTTATTTATCCTACTCCTTGAGTATATAGATAGATTTTATTTATTTATAGTTGATTGTGAATCCTTTTGATCATCTTGGAGTACTTTTCTTGGTCTCCCTCCTCTCTCACACATTCAGTGACACTTGTGTCACAATTCTGTCATGTTCTCTATATTCATATTTTAGAAATAAGTTCAACCTAGAGCTAGAATGGAGTTTCACATTCTGTGAAGGAAAGTTAAGAGGAAAATGTACCCCACTTGAAAACTTAGCTCTTTTTCCTCTGTGTGTGTGTGTGTGTGTGTGTGTGTGTGTGTGTGTGTGTGTGTGTGTGTGTGTGTTTTAATATTCCAAGTTGATGGTTTGAGTTAGGAATTTGGGAGTGTTGGTCAGGACTCTGAGAGAGAGAGAGAGGAAGAGAAAGAGAGTGAGAGAGAGAGAGTGGGGGAAAGAGAGAGACTTTCTTTGCAGAGCCTTTAATTCTTTTTGCCAAGACAAATAAAGCACAACTGTTGAGCTGACTGAGCAGTAAGCCCGGTGGTTGGGGGAACCGTGGCTTTGGAACAGACTGTGTACATCTGAATCCTGACTTTCCTGTGACCTTGGATTACTAGCTTTATCTCTCTGTTTCGGTTCCATTATCTGTGAAATGGTGGTAGTTACAGCACATAGCTCATGAAATGGCGTGTGTTAAATGAAATAATGCAATCCACTTAGGACAGTACTTGGCCCCTGGCAGCACTCAATAAGGTTAATTGTTCTTGTGCTTAACATTATTCTATCTGTCACTGTCCCCTTCTTCCCCTCCCTATCCAGTCATCCCTCTCCTGAAGTGACAAGGGGGCGTGAGGCAGAACTGACAGTTGTGTACTGTCTTGAATGCGGTCAGTTCTTGGGGGCCATCAGCAGGGAATTTTTCGCAGTTCTGCATTTAGCCCTGCTCTTTCCAGTCAGGGCTGTGGCTGTGAGGTGGGGCCTCACAGGGGCTCTGGCATTGACTCTGCTTTTCCCCTGCAGTATGGAATGCTCCTCTACCAGAATTACCGCATCCCTCAGCAGAGGAAAGCCTTGCTGTCTCCTTTCTCCACGCCTGTGGTAAGTAGAGCCGTGGCCTTCCTCGGTCAAGTGCCTCTTCAGCTGCTGCCTCGCCATATGTTGTGGACGTCTCATTTCACACGGGGAGGCCAAGAGGGACTTCAAACAGAGTGTGCACATTCCAGGGAAGCCAGCGAGTCTCAGGCGGTCCATTTCCCAGGACATTCCGTTTGTGCCTGCATAGCCCCATTCCTGCGTCTCCACACAGGATTATTTCGACAGATGGCTGGCTGTCTTTACATGGTCAAAAATGTGGACAGCGGCTTCCAGCTCTACAGAAGCTGCCTTTCTGGCCTTTGGCTTTTGTTTCTCCAAGCCATGGGTGTGGTTGCCCTGTTCACAGAGAAGCTATTCCCTGGTGGGAATTTAGAGGTGATCATCAGTGTGTGCTCCCCAAAGATCAAAACCTATTCTTAAAGATCAATCAGTACCTGTGCCTAGGAAATAGGAGGTGCCCCAGAAAAAGCCTGGTGTTTGCTACCTGAACGAATAAAATAAACTATATTAGTCTAATATAACATAGGGGGTCTGATTTGGGGGTTTAGTCAGCAAGTTAGGACAAGGCTCACCCATACTGTTACCATTTGTGGGATGTGCTTTAGCAGAGGTTAGGAAGCCCATGAAGGACCACAGAGCCCAAATCCTATTGGCTCCAGGTGACCTCACCAGCAGCCTTTGAGGCCTATGAGAAGAGAGGAATGCTTTTTTTTTTTTATTTTTTTCAAAACCCACAGCCATTTTAAGGGTAGTGCCTCGCTGACCAATGAATTTTCAACCTGAAGCAGGGAAGGAGGGGGGCCCCTTTCCCTGCGTCTTCAGGATCATTTCCTGCCAGGATTCCTCTGTGTGCTGCCGTGGCTGATTTCCTGCATCTTAAAAACTTGTGGTCTTCTCTTTACAGCGCAGTGTGTCTGAGAACTCTCTCGTGGCAATGGATTTTTCTGGGCAAACAGGAAGAGTGATAGATAATCCAGCTGAAGCCCAGAGTGCTGCCCTGGAAGAGGGTCATGCCTGGAGGGTAAGTCCCTAACCCTCCTTCCTCCAAGAGAAGCTGGCTCCCTCATGGCTGGTTCCCCCTACACTGATCTTCTCTCAGAAAAGTGGCTCTGTGGGTATGGAGGGGTGCAGGAGGAACTATGGGATACAACTGGCCCTTGTGGGCCCTCCATGTTTCCAGTCCCAACTTGCCTCCCTGTTGGGTGACTGCTGGGGAAGGGACAAGAGGGGAATAGAACCCTCTGTCCTCTTCGGTTCATGGGAAAAACTGTTCCTGGTGATGAATCGTCAGTGGCTGACCATGAAGGATAGACACAAGAGTCAGCCTTGAATGAGGCCAGCGGGCATTCACATTGGGGCCCTAACCCCCAGGTATAGATTTCCTTTTATTTCCGAGGCTCCAACGCCTGAATCTCTAGGAGGGAAGAGAATGTCACCCAGCTTGAAAGTTTTCTCTGAGTCACAAAGGCCATGCGTAAATCAGGAGTCCAGCTTAGAAAGCCTTCCTAGAACTAAGGCTGACCTCAGTGCGAAGAACACAAGAAAGCACCTAGGCCAGGCACCTACATTGTGAAATGACCTGAGTTTAATGCAGAGCTTTTCTGCTAAGATTTTATTTTTCGGGAATCTCATTTTATGCCTTCTGGAGGAAAAACATAACTGCCAGTTCTTGGGAGCGGGGTGATCTGGAAATAAACCCAGGATGGTTTTGATTTTGTTTATAAGCACTGTGGCCCATAAGCTTTCCATTCTCAGTGATCTGATGGGGGTGTTGAGTGGATTAAGGGTCATCAGACCTTATCTGGCCACCTTGTCCCGAGGGTGGCTGATGGTCTGCAGTCTTGATGCTAACATGGGCATTTCTCCTACAGAAGCGAAGCATGAGGATGAATATGCTGGGAAGCCAAAGCCCCCTGCACCCTACCTCCATTAATGCAGGTAACATGCCAGGCCGCCCTTTCCTGTCCCACAGCCCCAGCCCTCTACCATCCCCAGTGGTTCCCATACAGGAGTGCACCACAGGGCCAAAGGGCTAGCGGGGCACTATGTGATGGTGTTATGTATGCTATCTTCTCTCCTCACCTCTCCTCCCTGAGCCTCAGCTCACAGGGTACTGTGAGTCACCAGTACAGGAAAGGACTGTGCACAGGTACTATGTCCTCCCTCTCCTCTTCCCACAGTGATTCACAGGACCCAGCACTGGTTTCATGGCCGCATCTCCAGGGAGGAGTCTCACAGGATCATCAAGCAGCAAGGCCTTGTGGATGGGTAAGGAGCCTCAGTTGCCAAGAACTTCTGTCTGTTGCAATTTCACTGTGCTAGCTGTGCATTCTGCTCTGTTTCTCAGGTAGCCCAGATTGGCAGGCAGTGGATGTTCATTTGTTTGTTTGTTTGTGCTGGAATTTGGACACAGGACTACTTCATAGTTTTTAGGTAGAGTGGTCTTCCACATGAGCCATGTCCCCAGTTGCATCCACATTTTAACAAGAACATCTAAGTGAGGAGGTACAGAATTGTGTGTAGATTGCCCAGTTATTAAGGGACAAAAGATTCTAACCCATATCTTCCCAGGTTGAATATAGGATTACCTTCTTCCCCTTAGAAGTTTCACACAAGTAAAAAGTTATTTTTTTTATTTTCCATCTTTTTTTTTTTTTTGATATAGGTCCTGGTACTTGAACTCAGGGCCAGAAGACTGTCCCTGAGCTTTTTTGCTCAAGACTAGCACTCTACCACTTGAGTCACAGCTCTACTGCCAGCTTTTTTGGTACTTAATTAAAGATAATAGTCTCACAGACTTTCTTGCTCAGCCTGGCTTCAAACTGTGATCCTTAGATCTCAGCCTCCTAAGTAGCTAGGTAATAGGCATGAGCCACTAGCGCCTGGCTAAACAACGTTATTTTACCTGTATGTCTTTTATTTATGCACTTTAACAGCTTTCAGATGAGAACCAACAGCCTCACACTGTAGTAGCTTAGAGCCACAAAGAGGCATTGCATCTAGGTTGTAATTGGTTGAGTGACCCTTCTCGCTTGGGCCAGCACAGCCAGGCTGGACAGTAGTTGGCTTCATCATGTGTGCTATGGACACTGGTGGCATTCAGCTAACTTGGCTGGGTAATTAGGTGCGTGTTTGCAGAAGGTAACTGTCAGAGGTCCCTCAGGACCAGCTGGAGAGGCTGGTTCCCAGTACATAGTCTCTTTGCATTACATTTGATCCTATCCAGGCAAGCCCCCCGCCACTTGAGCTGTGCCCTAGTCCTGTGTTTGTTATTAACCAGCAATCTGATCTTACATCTTTGTGTGGTGTTCTGTTTTCAGTTGAACTTCTTTGTGGTCATTTTGCCCTACACTGGCTTCTGGAATCACCTTCTCATGGTGATTTCAGGTGTAAACAAATGTACTAGGTCCAAATGACACAGTCCTCTTAACCTTGCCCCTTTCTCTAGCCGAATATTGTCCCCACAGGCCACAATTGTTAGGTCTTTTCAGTGGACATGGCTTTGTGTGTGTCAGGCATGACACACCCCTAGCTCTGAGCTTTTAAAAACCAAGCAAAAAATCATGTGAGTTCACATTGATAAAAGCCAGTTCAAATTTGAGCATACAGGTTTTAATTGATTTTACTTTTCCATCTTTTACTCTAAAGATATTGGTCTGTTGGTTATCAGTGGAAATCACTTAATTACACACACACACACACACACACACACACTGATTCTTTCAACAGACTCCTGAATTAGGATTTCATTTCTTTATAACGAATCCTAGAAGGGTCTTAGCATATTATACTACACTTCCATGCTAAAGTCATGGAACGTAATTCTTCCCTGTGTTTCTGCCACCCAACTGTGAGGTAGTTAGCTTTGTTCCTGTTGATGTTTGGTATTTATGAGTGGATTGATACTATTTTTGATAATTTTGAAAAGTGAAAATCCAGACATGTCCATGTGTAAAGTCGAAACTATAAAGCAGTAGGTCACCATTTTTATTATTGTGTTCATTCTCCTAGTATTACTGTTTCTCTTTCTAAACAAAGGTGGTATCAGGGAGGAGACTCTCCAGCAGCTCATGTTCATCTTCCATGGGTCTCTTCCACTCCCAGGCCCTCTTGTATGTCGGTGGGACATCATTGTTTCCAGACAGCTCACCCTCTGATTAGGACACCAGTGCTTCATTGTTTCATAATTTCACTGGTATCCTTACAAGTGGGGATGCCAAGTGGAAAGCAGAAGGCTCATGGTATACTATGAAATAATTCTTGGTTGCCTCTGTGAGGTTCTGACCACGTGCCCATCTCTCCAGAAGTGCCTGTGAGAAGCCATTTCCCAGGGCTGTGCAAGTGGCTAGTTGGGTGGTAATTTGCCTTTGTTTCTCATGAAGCAGGCTGAGGCTCTTCCCATGAGCATAAGGACTATTGGAGTTTCTTTTTCTTTCTGTACTTCTGAACTTTCTAGTTTTTTTTTCAAGTTGCAAATATTTTCATATCTTTCTATTTCTGAATCATAAAGGACTTTGTTCATCATCTGTTACTTGTGTTGTTTCCCTCCCCTCTGCTGGCCTTCCTTCCTTTCTTCCACTCTCCTTTCATTCTTCCTTTTTTTTCTCATTTCTTCCCGCTGTATTCCTCTCCTTCCTATATCCCTTCTTCCCTGCACCTCTCCTTTCCCTTCGTTCCAACCTTTCTTCCTTGTTTGTGCTTTTGTTTTGGTATTTTGATTGCAGGTGCCTTGAGTTCGGTCTCATTTTATTATGTTTCCTATGTAATTATAAAATTATTCCAGAACTATCTTCTTGAGATGTCACCAGTGTCATGGAGCACTCTCTTTTAGATTGGCTCTTCGTTGGAACAGTGCCTTTCCTGATGATAGAAAAGGATATTTCTCTTCTAATGTCGCTAGCCTGCCTAAGAAAAATTTCAACATTTAAAATTTCTCTTTCTGAGACATTTTTGAGCTCAGAAGTGTTTACTTTCCTGCACTCCTGTGCAGGTCTGAACCCCAATAGAAGTGTGCCTTAAAATGTTCCAGGGACATCACTGCTAGCTCCTGTCTGGAATTCATTAAGGAGACTGAGTGGGCCCCTTGCCGGATGACATCATCCTGCCAGAGAAGCACATGCCCCACAGGAGGCTTAGAGAGGTGCTTTGGTCCCACCTCAGGAGCGCCCCAGGATCCAGCCTATCTGAGGTTTGGGGAGGAGGGTGTGAGGAACAAGTGTGTCCAGAAAGGGCTTCCCTAGTGATTCTGAGGTAAGGCCCATCCTGCCTACAGGTCAGGAGCCTATATGCTGCAGGTTAGCAAGTTCAGCCAAGTGAACAGCCCCAGTGCCCACTCCTTTCTCCTCCAACCAGGTCTGTCTTTCAGCTTATTCTTCAGTGCTATCCAATCAGCAGACTTTTGTCCCCTTCTCCCATGGAGTCTTGGTTGTCATTGAGGCTGCCATTTCCAGTTCAGACTTGAGCCTACAGGAGGCTAGGAAAGCACAAATATGCAGATGCAAGGCCCAGTACCAGCTTTGTCCCCGCAGTGCTGGGCTTCTGATGGCTGGAAAGGAAATGCATCTGCAAAGCAAGGTGAATCAGTAACCCATTTCTAATCCCTACTAATCTCTGAGAGATCACTGAAGGCAAATCAAGTTCAAAAGTCAAAACAAAACAACTTTAAAAGAGAAAGTGGAAATAATAAATGTCAAGAGACAGTATTTTCTGTCCATAGTTCTTAACACTGTCCTCTATAGAGCCCAACCAAGCCCAACCATCCAATTCTGTTATGGTTGGCATTTCCCAAAGAATATTTAAATGGAATAGTAGCAAAATGCTAGGCAACAGAGTTTATGTTGTTGGAAAACTTTATGGTAGAGCCCTTCAAAGATTAGAATGGAGAGTTAACTGCTTTCCATATTAACATGACAGTCTAGAAACTGGTGATGTAGCTGATGGTGGCATTTGGGTTTCTGATTTCTTTGAGATATGCTTAAGAGACTTTGTCTCTTCTGTTCTGGTATCTGTCTTACCAGCCATAATTCCATACTGCTTGTGCTGTTCTGTATCTCAGTTTTTGTAATTGCTTCGAAGTTATAGAAGAGTTGCACCAATGCCAAGAAGAATTCCTACATGTACTTCATCCAAGATATCACAGCATATTTGCTCTGTTATCTCTCCTCTATGATTTGTCAAATCATTTGAAAAGATGTTATACCATGGTGCCGCTTTATTTCTAATAATTACAATGTAAAGTTTCCACAAACCAGGTCTTCTTTGACATAGCCACAGTAGTGTTATAAAAACCAGAAAGTGAGCATCAGTGGTGTGGTCATAGCTCCTCCATACACTCACACCCAGATTTTACCAGAGCCCTTAGCCCCACTATAGTGAAAGATGCAATCTCCTATCCCAGAATGATCATAATGTAGGTGCTTGCATTGAGAGAACCCAGTACTTACAGAGTGTGTTTGGGCTTGTGCTGTGCTGAGTGGCTCATGCATTGAGGACAGGATGTGTATGGAGGCATCTTTGGTTCATCCTGTAGAAAAGCACATGAGTGCTATTTTGACCCGTTCCCCCTAGTAGAAATTTGAACACGTATTAAAGACAGTGTCAACTTGATTTGTATACTGTAATACTCTTCTTTTTCTTTAAGAAAAAAAAAGAGAGAAAGAAATTATTGTCTGCTGGTTTTAGTATCCATGGAAAATCTTAATCAATGGTTGCTGTGGTGATTGCCAAATGGCTGTCTTCTGATCTGGTACTCTGTGGTTTATGTCAGCAGCATTCTCCTCTATGGAGAATTTATATGCTCCTTTATGTCTGATATCTGTGCAAATTCCTATATCTTATGAGCCATTGCTTCTACCATTTGTCTTGACACTCCAGTGAAGCCATCCTACTTGCTGGGTTGTTTCAACATGTCCATTATGCTCTCCGCACTGTCTGACTTTCTGGCACAAAAGTTCCAGCTTCATCTTCTAGTCTCTTTTCTCTGCCTCAGCCCTGGACCCAGTGGTCCAGCCATGACATCAAGGTTCCCTTCAGTGGAGAATTACATCTCAGAATTTCAGCTGGTGTCCTGTGCTCTTGCCACAAAGTGCTATTGGGTGCCACTTACCGTGGCTTCGTATCTGTCTCATGCTGCAGGTCTAGGAGGTGTGCATGTATGCACATGTGCATAATGACTTTTGGATTTTTTTTAAAAGTCATAACAATCAGTTGCTGGTTTTCCCTCCCCAGGCTTTTTCTCCTCCGTGACAGCCAGAGTAATCCAAAGGCATTTGTCCTCACACTGTGTCATCACCAGAAAATTAAAAATTTCCAGATCCTACCTGTAAGTACTGATACTTTCACACCAATCCCCACTGGGGGGGGGGAGGGCTTTCTGATTTCATCCCTAATGTGACCTTCAAGTTGTAAAGTAACAAGACTTCAGCCGGTCAGGTAGCAGACAGTTTCCCATTCACAGGTAAGAGTCTCTGCAAGGGTTTATTCTTTGAACTTGGGACAGAGTTTCCCTAGCAATGAAGCTGCTGGAGGTAGCCTGATGTCGAGGCTTCCCCTTCACCTCTGAACCTCTCCCTTGCCAGGTCAACAGGGCAGGAAGACTTTCCCGGTAACTTACACTCACTGAGTTGAAATACACGTTAGGAATATATTTCTTCCCTGGATACCTTGCACAGTTCCTCTGCTTTAATAAAAACAGCCACCAAAAAAAAAATCCCAGGATCTGGGAAAGTTGCCTATCCACATTGATTTTATTAACCCACCTGTGACCCCAGTTGAACACCAGGATTTCAGGGTAGGTTACCCATGTTGTAGCAAGGATGCAAGCCTTGTGTGTCGTGTGTCATTGGCTGTTAAACTTCCTTCCTGAGCCAGGTGAATGAGGAGCCGCTTAACAACCTTTGCCTAAGGCTACCCCAGAGCACAGAGGAGCCAGCTGTCCCTTTCCCCTGGAGAGAGAAAAATATGTATGTACGATAGATAGATAGATAGATAGATAGATAGATAGACAGACAGACAGACAGACAGACAGACATACAGACAGACAGACAGACAGACAGACAGACAGACATCTCAGGATCTGAACCATGAGCAAGCAGACCAAACTGCTGTTGGCCAGAGACCCCCAGGTTGCTTTCTGTGATGTCTTCTAACTCAGGAAGTATTCCTTGTGTCTCCCCAGTGTGAGGATGATGGGCAGACCTTCTTCACCCTGGATGACGGCAACACCAAGTTCTCTGATCTGATCCAGCTGGTTGATTTTTACCAGCTCAACAAGGGGGTGCTGCCATGCAAGCTGAAGCACCACTGCATCCGCGTGGCCTTATGACCTCCCAAACGTCCTCTCAACAGAGAAAGGAGAGAGAGAACACTGGAATGAAGAGGAAGAGGTCTGCGTGAGAATTGAAAATACACATCTAGTTCACACCCTAAGATTCAGAATGATGTGGGTTTGTTCAATACCAGCCCACTAAGATTGATTTGTTTGTTGGACTTTGAGATGCTTTGCTGTTGCGGACGCAACAGCATCGCCTCCCTCTGTGCCAGCCAAACGGGGGGAGGGACGACAGATCCAGCGCAAGTGTGAGAATCAACTGGAATGACCATCTTGGCTGGGCCACTTAGAAATGAGAACCGGATAGAAGTGATTGGAAATGAACTCTTGCCCTGGGATAATCTTGACAATTAAAACCGATATGTTTACTTTTTTTGTATTGATCACTTTTTGCACTCCTTCTTCGTTGTCAATATTGTATTCAGCCTGTGGTAGGAGGGGATGTGGCTTTTTCGAGTCCAATGATAGAAAACAAACAAAAACAAAAAGGTGTTTTGAATTGGCAGGCTTCAGACTGAAAATGAGTCCCCACAAAGGGTTCCACAGGATGCTAGCACCTGCTGAGATTGCCACAGTGTGGATTTGGCTCCCAAATTACAGACCACCCCCAACCCTTCCCAGTATACTTGAAAAGCTTTTTCTTCTTTTTTTTTTTTTCAAAAATAAACAATACAAAAACAGGTGTCAACGGTGGTTGGCATCACCTTTTGTGGACTCAGTCAGACTCCCACTGTCTGTCAGTCATTGCTCTAGTGCAAGTGTCTGGTCCCTTTGTTATTTCCTTGTCTAGTGAGGGAGACTTTATTACTTAGAAAAGCCTACTTCCCCCCACCCTCCCCCCAACCAAAAAAACAAACAAACAAACACACACAACATGGCTGAATGACCTCACTGCTAAACTGGCCCATGCCAGCCTTCTTGAGACACTGGTACTCACCGTCGGCTGACGGTGAATCCCAGCAAGTCTGCCCGGGGCATCCTCAGCCTCGTGTTATCTAACCACACGCTGGTCTAGAATGACCACTGCCTTAGCCTCCGCAGTGGCCTGAGTCATTTCCTGACTGATCTCCCTCTGGGGATTAGAGGATCTTCAAAGAAAATGGCTCCTGCGTGGCTTTGTGTCTCCATGGTTTCCATGGTGATAAAGACTGGGAACACTGCAGGCATGGGCTGGTGACCTTTAAAGGTCTTTGCCTCATGACCTCCGTGCCCTGCTGGAAACCCCCCCTAAGCCAGCAGATGCAGGTGTCCAGCGGCACTTCTCTGCTGAGGGGTAGCCGCCTGTGCTGTGGGCACCAATTTTGAATAACGTGATACTTGCCTCCCATCTTGGGAGATGAATCAGATAGTGGCTTGAGCTATCACTGGGTCCCCCTTGAGCCCCACAACGGACCCTTTGCCATGTCCCCTTCATTGAATTGTCAGGTGTGAGGTGACCATTTCCTTCCACTTGAGCCCAGCAACACAGGCAGTACTTGCTTATCAAGCATACAGGCAGCTGTGGTGAGCAGAAAGCTTTCCATTTCCAACAACCTCCCCGGCTGTCCCCTGTACCTGTGCTTACCGCTGGATTCCTTGAATCCTACCCCCCCCCGAAGTGCTCCTCCCTAAGGAACTGCATTTCTGGGTCCCGTCTTGGGCCCACGGAGTGGAGGACAGCCTTGTGACAAGTGTCACTAAGGCAGATTTGCTGCTAGTCAGTCTGCAGCATCGAAACCCTGTGTTTCAGTTTAAAAGCCACACTCCGGTTTCTACGAAATGCCTCCTTACAACAAATGAAGAATTTTCTTTTGGTTTTTGTTTTTTGAGTAAAACATATTCTCAACCATATGAACTTTTGTTTTTCTTCCTCTTGCAATCAGTTAACCATTCAAATGATTGACAGTGAGGTCATCCTCAAGTTCATGCCTAGCTGCATGTTCCCGCTGATCTTCACGTCCAACATTGTCCCTTTTCCTCTTGGCTGGTCTGAAGTTAAAAAAAAAAATCTTTAAAATTAAAAAAAAAAAGAAAAAAAGAGGAAAAAAAAAAACAAGCAATTTTAAGATTTCTTTTTCTTTTTTTTTTTCTCCTGTTTACGTAGACCAGTCCACCAGTGTATCATCCCTCTTATGGCTCTTCGTAGAACAGTTAGGATGCGCAGTATTTCATATTTATACGTATGCGTTTTATTTAAGCAGAGAATAAAGGCTTGATTGATTTCACGATTTTGTATGTAGCTGGTTTGACGTAGTCTTTTTGTACTTTCTCAGCCGAAGTGAGTTATTAGAGGCTCTGCCCCATCTGGGCGGGACACTCGCTCTGTTGCAACCAGCCTGGCTGCAAGGCCCTGGCTTGCCCGCCTTTGCGAATTCCATCTGAGATAGCAATGTCCCTGGGCTGGTGGGCGTCTAGCCCCCTTCTCCAGGCACTGAAGGACAATTTGACTTTTATTTTTGTATTTAATTGACATGAATGTAAAGGGGACAGCTCAGGGTTGTTTTGGAGCCTTTGTAATGTCTGCCTGTGATTTTTCTTTTCTAAATGAAACTCCATGTAGCAACCTGGACTAAATTGAGAAGGAAAAAACACACACACACACACAAGAGAAAAACACACACACACACACACATACACAAAAACCTACAAAAAATGCCAAATGCTTTTTTTTTCTTTGAGTATTTAGAGTTTTAATAGGTAAGCTCTGTTACATTAGATGTTAGAGTTCAAGAATGTGTTTTTGTTTGCTAAAACCTTGAAGAAACATGTGCCTCAGCTTAGATGTTTTGTCTGCTCCTTTCTGCACTTAAATACCTGACAACAATTTGAGTGACCGCTGCACCTCTGGGGGCGGGACTAGCTTTTTGTAGATTTGTGACGTCACAGTGCAAGCTGCAGTGACCATAATATGGCCTGACCTGTAAGCATTTTCAGGGAATGCAGGAGGTGTTGATTATGAGACAAAACCTTTACCATGTGCTTTGCTTTCATTCTGTATATAGCTCTTTGGCTCGTGAACCTAATTGTAAACTTTCAGGTATTTTTGTACAAATAAGGGACTGATGTTCTGTTTCTTGTAACTAGAAATAAACATTAATACAGTGTTCTTCATTTACTACTGTTCGTAATGTCTCAGTCTGTACTTAAAAGCCCTCTGGGTGATGATCCACGGGGGGTGGGGGGGAACACCTTTGAAAAAGGACTTACCACATTTCAAACACATTCTTCTCATTAGGAAGGAGTTGGCATGAACAGTTAGTGGCTGTGTGAGAACGTGTGTCTTGAGTAAGCTTGAGTGAATGTGAGTGAAAGGCAGACTCAGCTCAGTCGGGGGCCTGGTCAACCAGCTGTTTCCCTATGCTCCATCCTGCCCGGGGAGTCAGTTATCCATGAAGGTTTAACAGAGACCTCCAAACACTAAACATTCACATTCATTCACATTTGACAAGGCCAGTGGCATTTCTTTTTCACTGCAGTGGGACAATTGATGTCAAGGGCCTGGCTGGGTACTGGTGACTAACGCCTGTAATCCTAGCTACTCAGGAGGCTATGATCTGCTGAGGACCACAGTTCAAAGCCAGCCTCGGGGAAGGAGAGCCTGTGAGACTCATCTCCAATTAAGTACCAGAAAGGTGTTAGTGGAGCTGTGACTCAAGTGGTAGAGTGCCAACCTTGAGAGAGAGAAAGAAAAGGAACAATACTCAGGCCCTGAGTTCTAGCACCAGCACCCAAAACCAAACAAGCAAAAACCCGCATGGGTTGGTTTCAACTCCAAGAAATTGGAAGGAAGTTAAGGAGAAGGGATGTCCCATGTTATTGCTACCCAAGCCTTTACTTGGGGGAATCCTAAGTTACCTATAGATTTTCTACCTGGTGCCTCTTCCCTGGCCAGCCCCAATCAGCCAGTAAATGCAGACATCTCACATGCTAGCCCATGTAAGTCAGGCACACACCAGCAATGCGAGAACGCTCCTGCAGCAGACAGGCATAGCTTAAAGTCACAACAGCCCTATATCATACCTCTCTCTGGAGAGCACAGTTTTGTGACAGCAGCCAGGCCAGAGCATCAACATAGACTTCACTGGTGACTAAATACAATGACATAAGCTGCCACACAGCACAATGGATTGAGGGGAGACGCAGCCCAACTTGAACTTTGAGCTTGCTGCTTCTATCCCAACCTTAAGTGGCATTTAAAACATACACGTAAACCAGGCACTGGTGGCTCACGCCTGTAATCCTAGCTACTCAGGAGGCTAAAATCTGGAGACTTAACAGTTTGAAAACTCCAGGAAACTCCATTTCTAAAATGATGTAAAAAGCAGAGCTGTAGAAGTGGACCAAGTGGCAAGTGCATGCAAAACCCTGAGTGCAAACCCAGTAGGGACCCTAAATACAGTATATACAAGTATAAAAATATGTAAAAAAATACACACATAAAATAAATATACATGCAAAATGCACAATATACATATACACATAAAATATACAGATAGATGCAAATTATATATACAAATATATAAACACTTGTGGACACTGAGAATGTAGCTTGGTGGTAGAGTGCTTGCCTAGCATGCATGAAACTCTTCGGTTCCTCAGTACCACATAAACAGAGCCAGAAGTGGCACTGTGGCTTAAGTGGTAGATCCACACTGGTGGATTGATCACACATGACTACTTGGGACACAGGAATGGAAGGACTGTATTTAAGGTCAACTAGCTGGGGCAGAAAAGTGAGCAAAAACCTTGTTTCATCCTACAGTTGGGTGAAGTTATGTCTATCTGTCATCTGAGCTATGGCCAGAAAGATAAAATAGTTGGATCAAGTTACAGGAGCACACACCTGGTCAAGAAACACTATCCAGGGCTGGGAAGGTGGCTCAGTAGTAGATTGCTTGCCTTGCATGCATGAGGCCCTGGGTTTGATTCCTCAGCACCACATAAGCAAAAAAAAAAAAAAAAAAGCTGGAAGTGGCACTGTGGCTCAAGTGGTAGAGCGCTAGCCTTGAGCTGAAGAGCTGAGGGACAGCGCCCAGGCCGAGAGTTCAGGCCCCACGACTGGACCCCCCCCAAAAAAGAAACACTATTCAAAATAACCAATACAAACTAGGAGTTAATGGCTCGTGCCTGTAATCTTAGCTGAGATCTGAGGATCACAGTTTGAAGACAGCCTGGGCAGAAAAGTCCATGATACTTTTATCACCAATTAGCCACCAAAAAGCTAGAGGTACAACTGTTGCCCAAGTGATAAAATGCTAGCCTTAAGCAAAAATAGCTAAAGGACAGCATCTAAGCCCTGAGTTCAAGTCCCAGTAGCCACACAAAAAATAATCACAAAAAAAGGTCTGGGAACAGCACTCTACTATGGTCCAGCACCCTTGGCCAGTACAAAGCACTTAACTCCAGTAACCTATCCAGACATCCATACTTTGATTAATAAGTAAAATTGTGGGGACTTTAAAAAATAATGAATGTGCTTGCTACAAGTGAACATGGTTTATGATCTGTTTAAGAGGGGTCCAGACTACATTCATAAGAACTGGAAGAAAAACGAACAGTTCACCCAATGCGTCCTTAAGCTTCATCCATGGTCCTTGAGCACAATAGAGAAGGAGGGGCTGGTCCGAAGGCCCCCCAGAGACCCAGCAGAGAGGAGAAACGAAAGGTCCCATGAGTGCAGATCTCAACACAGCCAGCAGAGGGCACTTCAAGATAAATGGCACACCCTGGGGGGGAAGTTGAGGACCCTTGGGGTTTAGGGAAGCAAGGAGAAAAGGCACAGAAAACAAGCACCAGTGGCTCACACCTTATAATCCAAGCTGCTCAGGAGGCTGAGATCTGAGACCTGTGGTTCAATACCAGCCCAGGCAGGAAAGTCCATGTGACACTTACCTCCAATTAACCTCAAAAAAAAAAAAAAAAAAGCTGGAAGTGAAGCTGTAGCTCAAGTAGTAGAGTGCTAGCCCCATACAAATAAAGCTCAGGGACAGACAGCACCGAGGCCCTGAGTTCAAGCCCCAGGACAGGAAGTCAAAAAAAAAAAAAAGGCAGCACAGAAGTTGTAATACATCAAAGTCATATTTGATTCCTGGGGATATTTCGTGTCTCTTTAGGATCAGAACATATTTTTTTTTTGGAAAACCACAAGTGTGTGTGTGTGTGTGTGTGTGTGTGTGTGTGTGTGTGTGTGTGTGTGTTGAATTCTATTTACCTATTGCTCCCAACATCTGCTTTTTTCCTGAACCCTTTCTGTGCTCACTTCCTTTGGATCTTCCCCCCCCCCCAACCCCCTACCTGGGCACATGCCCGTGTTGGAGTGGTATTGAGTAGGAGCATCTCTGCTTTGTGTTCCTTCCAACCTGAGCTGCTCTTCTGAGCTATGCCCACTTTCTTTGTGAATTCCAAGCTCTCCACCCCATTGTATGAAGTGATTGCTTGTCTGAAGTTTGTGGTACCATATCCTGTTGCAGTTTCCATCTTGTCTGTTTGCAACTGCTGTCGCTTCTTCTCATTCTTTTGTCCTTTGATGTTGGAGTTCCTTCATGGACACCTTCTTGAGTTCTTCACGTGCTAGCTATTACCAAAAGCCTGTCAGCCTAGCTACTCAGGAGACTGAGAATTGCAATCTGAAGCAGACAAATTTGAGGGACTCTTATCGCCAATTAAGCAGCAAAAAAGCTGGAAGTGGAGCTATGGCTCAAAGTACCAACCTAGAATAAAAAGCTAAGCAATAGCATGAGGCCCTAAGTCAAGCCCTGGTATCTGTACACACACACACAGAGAGAGAGAGAGAGAGAGAGAGAAAAGCACAAGCGCTGTGTTTGATATTAACTGCACAAAAATAAGTAAAAAGTCAGAAACTAGAGGTTATATGTAGAAATTTGGGGGAACCATTACAACTGTTCATTTCATTAATTCTCCTCCCTTCACACTTACCTTCACACTCAAGCTTGGGATACCTTCCACATCCAGCTTGACAACACATCTGATATACTCACAACAGAACCACATTTACTTCCATGTTCTATGGCCGACTCATCAGATGTCATTTGGGGTGACGATAGAGGTTGGTCATTGGAAATAAATATTATGGCTCATTTTCTTAGGGAAAGTCTCTGTTGTAATTACATTCAGCCCTCTGTATCCACTGGGTTTCATGTCAGTGGATTTAACCACTGATGGAGTGAGATTGGCTACATGCTTGCTGATGCATGCTAGGTAATTGGGCCTGCTGTGGTTGGAAATGCATACAGACTTGCCCCCAGACATTTCCCAAATGGCACACTATGGGGAAAATACTGTGCTGTGGATATTTGTAGATTTAATTAAATAGAATGCAGTGACTTAGTGTTATAAATACTGTAGAGACGCTCTATGGTATTGGGAGGATATAAAATGCCTTTTTCTGGTGCCAATCTTCGGGCTTGAACTTGTTAGTATGTCCTCTTCCATTTGGGGCTTGACAGCCTCCATCCTAAGCCCTAAGCATGTATCTCTAGCCCCCTCAACCCCCTGCATCAGCAGAACACCTTCCACCCAGACTAGAACTCCACCCTGCCCTTCACAAAGAAAAGAGAACTCTCCACAGGGCTCCCACTGGTTTCTCCAGGATCTGTCTATATTCCTGCTCTCTCCCCAGACCTAAACCCACCCTGCCTACTCACTTCCGCCTCTAGTCTGGGGACTGTATCAGGATTCCCCTGAACAAGGACAGGTGCCATTTTCTCCTCTCCCTTGAGGGAGGTGGCCTTGTCAGCCCCACTGGCAATAAACCCCTGTGCTGTATGTGACTGGGTCCTTGTGGTCTTCTGGAACAGGTGCTTTCAGAGCTAAGGGCCTGGGTGCTGTCCCCAAGCTTTTATGCTCAATACTAACACTCTACCACTTGAGCCCCAATTCCACTTCCAGCTTTTTAGGTGGTTAATTGGCGATCAGAGTCTCAGGAACTTTCTTTCCCTGTCTAGCTTCAAACCATGATCCTCAGATCTCAGCCTCCTGAGTAACTAGGATTACAGGCCTGGGCCATCAACGGTGTCCAGCTATGATACCATTTTATACGTGAGACTTGTGTGTCAATATACTTGGGTATGTGGACCTGGGTATCTGCAGGGTGTC